AGAGAGAGAGAGAGAGAGAGAGAGAGAGAGAGAGAGAGAGAGAGAGAGAGAGAGAGAGAGAGAGAAGGAGAGAAAGAGGGAGAGGGAATACATAACCCTCAGGGAATTAGTGTTTGTCACCAACACCACCTAGACTACCACCACCACTTTGTCTCCTCCCTCCCTTCCTCCCTCCCTTCCTCCCTCCCTTTCCCCCACACCAAGAGTAAAACTCACCTTTGAGAAAATTAGAGGCTTGGAAGCTCTTGCCATGAAAACCACCCAAACTACTCCTAGCAGTTCTTCTCCCGATGTTCGTGGCACTCCTGTTCGCATAGATGCCTTCCCCATTGTACCAGTCCTCCATCATCCGCGACGCAGCCCCCTTGTTATCACCACTGATGAGTGTGTTCGTTCGGTTCATGGATGTGCAATGGACAGCAAACCAGTTCACCGATCCGACATCTGTGCCAGCTTTGTCGGTGAAGCGCAGCAAGGTCATCAGCTTGTCTTGGTTATACTGGTATCGCTCCCGCTCATGTGGAGGGTTGTTCAAGTACGCACTCGGACTGCGGTTAATGTTCGCGTTCAGAAGCACTCCTGATGTCACATCAACACCACCAAATTGACAGGGGAAGGAGAAAAATGTTCAGTAAGGAGAAATTGACAGGCGAAGGAGAAAAAACACATTTTGTGGCGCAGTTGGTACATATACGAAGTGTTGTGCTGAAATACAGACCGGGAGTTCGAATCCAGATGCAATCAGATGAACGGAATATAATACGTTTGAATTACCTGTGGCCGGTCACTTCAATTACGATATATCAAGAGTGCCACCGTTCGAAAAAAAGAAAAGAAAAAAGAAAAAGAAAGAAAGGAAGAGGAAAGAGAGGCGAAAAAAGAGAGACTTTTTAGAGGGAAGGGGAGAGGGAGGAACAGAACGAAAACAAAGAAAAACGGAAGGACAGCAAATAAACTTCAATCAAGCAAAAATAAGCAGAACCAAATGAGATTTCGTTTTTCCTTTTTTTTCCCTTTTGTAATGACCCGCCAAAACACAGACTGAGATCACTGCTGATTTCTGGGATTTGCCGCTGGAATGTATGCCTTGCTGAGATTCCCACATTCATTCTGCTGTGATTTCTATGTGTGTGTGTGTGTGTGTGTGTGTGTGTGCCTGCTGGTCTGCGTGCCTGTCTGAGTGCTTGTCGGCCTGAGTGTGTGTATGACCCGCTAGGGTACGTGTTGGTTGAGAGGCCCCCTAGGGCTGGTACTTACCTGTGGCCATGACTTTGAGGGTTGCAGAGGGGAAAAACACTCAAGTAGCGGGGGTAGGCCCGCGACACTTGGAGCAGCGGGAAAAACACTCAAGTAGCAGGTAGGTAGGTACCACTCAAGTAGTGGTAGAAGTGTCGGGTACTGGATGCCGAGCAGAAGAAGACAAAAGTTGGCATTTCTAGAGGCCCGGTAGCGGTAGGCTAGAGGAAGGCCGGTACCAGTCCAAGTAGCCTGACTCTAGGGCCTGTCCGGACGATATCAGCGCCTGCAATGATGTTTCCCTCCGAAAGGGAGGAGGTACCGGTTGCTGGGAGGCCACACGGCCTAGGAAGTCACTGCCCATGTGGCAAGTAGGCCGCTATATCTTTGGGAGGAGCAAGAAGTTCCTCCTCATTTGCAGTGTGCAAGGATCGGCGACATACTGCTGGAGCCAAGCGCTGGACTAGGAGCGCTGCCTGCAGGAGGAGAGCAGCTGAGTGCTCAGCCCGGCTATGGGGAGCGTCCCAGCCTGAGGAGGAGGAAGAAGGGGGCGAAGGAGGAGAGTGGCGAGGTACCTACCTGGCTATGGTGGACACCATCTTCATCACCTTGTTGGGCGCTGCATCTGGAAAGCCCCAGTTGGTTAGTGCCGCACCAAGGAAGCTCAATGCAGAGTCAGGCATGGCGGCTTAGTGAGAAGCGGCATAGCTGATTTGTTTGGACAGGAGGGCAGCTACCATAGCTGCTTTGGGTTGTCCTTTGGACAGGAGGGCACAGCCCTTAGTAGTCCGCCATAAACCAGACATGTGAGATGAGGAAGAAGGGGGGAAGCCATGGCTATGGTGGAGCTCAGCCTGTTGTTGTGTCAGCAGTAAGTGGAAACTTCGGATATTGATTCTGGTTCACCCACTTATTGTTATTATTATTATTGGAAGAAAGAATAAGATTGGCGAAGTGAAGGAGGAGGAGGAAGGTGGAGAGAGAAGGGGGATTTGTCATTGGTCTTGCTGGTGTACTTCTTCTTCTTCTTCTTCTTCTTCTTCTTCTTCTCTTTCTCTCTTCTCTGATCTCTATCTCTTTGCAAGTGCTTTCATTTCTTTCTCAATTGGGTGGCATTGTCTTTCGTTGTGAATTTGTACTTTGGAAGTGACCAGGATCGTAACACTTCTCTTGCTTTTGCAAGGATTCAGCCTGCGAAAGGCCCGCTGGGCTGCGGCCTCTCGACGCCCAAGGGACCCCCGGCAAGTAGCGTGGCCGCCCTAAGTGAAGGCGGGGGCCTGATATCGATATGGGCCCCATTTCACCATATTTCTGCAGTTGGGCGCCAGACAGTTACCACACGTCAGTTGGTTACTCAGGCCCAATTCGTGAGCGTCGGAATCTTCCCTGAGCCTTCTAGGCTCTTCCAGGGAAGGACGTGGATGCTGGCCTCTTGGCCAATCAGAAAGCAGGGAACAAGGCAGAAGTGGTTGGGCGCATAGTGAAGCCGCGAGCGATCCCAAGAAACTGTCTGAACGGGCCTGGGCGCAGACACTTTGGGCTGACGTGAAGCTACCAGCCAGCTGCATTTTTCCCTGCTCTATATTCGTTTTATCTCACACTACCTACCCCGAGGTATGTACTTGGGTTTTAGGGTCGTCCTACATCGGACAGAGGACCAGTGTGACGGGGCTGAGGCAACGAGGCTGGGAGAGAGAGGGAGACAGTGAGAGCACACACACACACACACACTCACTCAACTCGACGCAGACTCGACACAACTCGACAGACCCAGACACGAAGTGGCAAAGTCGCAAAGTCGAAGTCTTGGATTTCCAAACACAATGTCGAAGCAAGTCACCGAGGCACAAGTACAGCAGCAGGAAACTGGTACGAGACTGGTCCCCGTACCGTACGGAGAGCCGGTGTAAGTACCGATGACACGTACGGTACCAGGGGCATTTCTGCAAAGGCCCCGAGGGCAGAGCTGAAAAATGCGGTATTTGAAAGTGGCGCCAGAATTGCAGCATGGCGCCAGTTGTCCAAAATCCTACGGTACCAAAGGAGGGGTTTGGAAAAAGGGTGCCAGGCCGAAAACGGGATGCAGCCGAAACAGCAAAAGGATAGACCAGGGATCGAGCCCTGGCGGAGTCCATAACAAACAGCCTTAAATCTACTAACCAAGACTAAGCTATCCTAAGGTTATGGGTCTACGCCTACCTAACTCTGCTCTGCGCGGGGAGCAGCAACCAAGCTCCTAACACCTGGCACGAACTAGAAAGACAGACTCAACTTCCACAACCAACCAGGAGGGACAAGCCAACTTTCTCAGTCCGTGAAACCAAAGTATGCCACACAGGGGGTCGTGCGGAATCGAATGGATGGATCCCGTGGGGAATTGAGCCCACGACCTCCTGTGTACCACTTAAGTGCTCAACCAACCGAGTCCTAGGCCGCTCGGCACTTTGCCATTTGGATGGCATTCTGATTTGTGATCAGCAGGTTCCAGGTTCAATTCCCTGGAGTTGGATTTAGCGCTTGAGAAAATGCTGTTTCTATGGGCTTGTTTTGTGAGAAATTAGAGTCTCGAGTCTGTTCTGCTGTGATTTGCTGTGTTTTTTCCCCCGTGTGTGTGTGACCTTCCACTAACGTGCCAGTGCCGTGAGGTTGCCTTAGTCAAGTCTGTGTCCTTTCTCTAACTCTGTTGTCCATGCTGTGTCTCTGCGCCTCAAGCTGGGGTAGGGGTAGAGAAACAGGGACAGAGGCAAAATTAGGCCACAGAAGAACTTCGCAGAAACTCCTGAAGGCCCGGGGTAGTTGTAGAATTTGATAGGAACCCAGTAGGCCTTGTTCAGCAACTCAGGTAGGGCCAGGTAGGTAGGTCCATTAGGCTCAAGCGGAAACCCCTGAAGGGGAAGATGTAGAATTTGAGGGAGATAGTTGAGGGAGATGTTGGAGGTAGATAGGCTGAGGATGACTACCGGGCGATAGTCAAAACCCAGCGTCGGGGAGCCAACACCTGTTTCAGAAAGTTGTGCGTTGTATGATCTGTCATCTTTTTTTTTCCGTGGGGGTACAATTTATCTTAGACCACCAGTGCTTCCGAAAGTTGTGCCCGTAAACAAGCCACAATTTTAGGAAACACACGTCCCACCTGTGTAGCATCATGTTTGGGTTCGGTCACCGAACCCGAACGTTCGCGACCGAACGCGAACGAGCGCCAAAACCCTTCGAACACGAACATAAAAATATATTTAAAAAAAAACAACAAATTCTCAGAAAAATCTGAAAAGAATATATGTTATGTAAAACAATAATACAAACAACTGTTGCCTGGGAGGTATGCTCAAATTCGTAACCAAACTCGAGTTAAAAATAAAAAACCAGAAAAAAAAAGTTCTTTTTTTTTTTCCTTTTTTTTTCTGAATATGTTCGGCCGAACACGTTCGGGAAACGTTCGCCGAACACCCGAACATGTTCAGACGTTCGGAAAAGCTCCGAACATGTTCAGTGTGCTACACCGCGGACCACTACAGGAGCGCCCATGATTTTAGGAAACGTACGGGTCACTACAGGAGCGCCCAAATTCGTCTGACTAGAAACGTTTCTGCTCTATTTTTTTTTTTTCCGTGGTCGATAGCTGGGCCAAGCAAGTACTGGTGGTTTAATACGAGTCTCATATCAATTTGGTATCTTGACAATTGTGTGATGTCTATTGTGCATGAGTTTCATCTCCGGAAGCTACTGAAACTATAGCAGGATAGGCGATCGGGTGTAGTCTACGGTGACATGGTCTCATCAAATATTTTGTGACGTAGCTCTGGAAGCTACTGAAACTATAGCACAATGCACTATAGACGATTGAGTGATGTCTTTGGTGACATGGTCTCATCAAATTTTGTGATGTAGCTCTGGAAGCTACTGAAACTATAGCACAGTAGACGATTGTGTGTATGACTATCGTCTATTATCTCATCGATTTGTGATGTCAAGCCAAGTAGATTCCAGTACCTCTGGAAGATGCCGAAACTTGTGCACAATAAACGGTTGTGTGGTGTCCAGTGTGCATGAGTGGACGATTGTGCGATGTCTATCGTCTCATCATTTTCCTTGCGTGCTCCGAGTGCGATTTCTACTCTAGTCTATCTTACTCAGGGGGGAAATCCAATAGATTCTGAAAAGTTGCGAAGGTCGAGGGCCTGTACATAGACAGGTATCAGAGTAGATTCAGGCCCTGGGGGGTAGCTGCAGGCTGCAATGATGTTCCGGCCAAAAGGCAGGAACTTCCAGCAGGTCCAGAGCACCAAGGGCAGCCGAGCTACAGTAAAATT